GGGTGTAAACGACAGGGTGGATGCTGGCTCATGGGCCTCCTCAGCACTTGTACATGGTGTGTCCTTCCTGAAATGTAAGTAATGTCCCCGAGGCGGGGAGGCTCTGATGCATGGACCATCCTGTCGTGGAGGACCTTTGTTTGACACTCTTCTCTGTGAACTTCAGAATCTCACAGCTAGGTCTGGTGGAGTGGACTAAGCTGGAAAATGGGGTATGCGGAGGGGGTGGGGAAGGCCTGGGTTGATACGTGTGTGGGAGTGTGGTTGTGTGTGTGGACAAGTGTGTGCCCACTGGGGGAGTGGGAGGAGCGTTCATTACAGGGTGCGACGGGACTTCTCTCTGGTGTCCTGGTGTTGGAGCTGAGACCTATAGGAAGTGATCCCTTCTCATCTGCATCTATGGGAAGGGCATTCCTGGCAGAGGGAACTGTAAGGGTAAAGGTCAGAGTTCCGGGGCCTGCTTGCCATTGTGGCGGGATAAACACTGGGCCCAGTGTGACCGCAGTGGGGGAAGCGAGGAGAAGGATGCTGGGAGAGGAGGTTGGAGAGGGAGCTGGAGGACTGGATCACGTCGGGTTCAAGCTTCAGCCGCAACCAAGACTTCAGACTTTACACTTTGGGTTCTAACCTGTCTGTGTTCTGTCCCCCTATTCTGCCTTGTGGTTTCACCACCTGGTAATATTAATTTCTATCAGTTTGTAAAAAAGTCTGTCAGTGACTCTTGTGGACACCTATCATTGAAATAACTTGAATTTTATATGACTTATTGTCTCTCTGTATCTTTTAATGATCCCATGTGTCTCTAGTTAAATGAATGACATGGTCTCTGTGGCTTTCACACTTAGCGGGCAGCCCGGGAGGCCTGCCAGAGCCTGTCAGGGGAGTGATGGATGCTATTGGGACCATTGAAGGGAGCTGTTTGAAGAAATGCAGTGGGCATCTTAATAGGTATTACAGGAGTGTCATTTTTTCAATGATCTGGAGACATGCAGCAGATATTAGGAGAGCTACATTTGCATGAGGTATTCAGTGGTTTTATTTTAAAATGTGTAGCTAATCTTTCCGATACATGGATCCAAGTAGTTTAGTGGGTGGTGGATGTGTAATTAGAAGATGATTATTTTCTAGGAGTCCTGTGCTGTCAACAATCCCGGGGGCACACAGATTTTGTCATGTGTTTTGCCTTTTCTCGTAGGTACACTTCCTTGTGAAGACAAGAGAGTATTTGCATTGACTTTTGGCCTTGCTATCTCACTGTGACTCATTTAATCCTGTGATGATTATTTCATTGCCAGAAAAATGAATTTTCTATTTTTATTTAGATTAAGCAGCTATTTCTTCAAAGTGTGGTCCCCAGACCAACAGCATCAGTATCAGTTATTAAAAAGGCACATTCTCAGGCCTCACCCCAAACCTACTGAGTCAGAAGTGCAGGGGTTGGGGCCTGAGAATGTGCTTTTTAATTTAAATTTTTAAGTTTTGTTAAAAAAAAAACCATATAACAATATAACATAAAATTTATTAATTGTTTTTTTATTTTTTAAAGATTTTTATTGGGGAATTGGGGGAAGGGGAACAGTTGCTGTCCTTTTGTTCTTCAGTCTAGTTGTGGAGGACATTGCTTTG